ATAATGTAGGTCATTATTGAGGCCCCCTATATTATTTTAGAGCGCCAGGCTCCCCCAGCACAAAGGATCCCTCTCTGTGGGTCTCAGCCCTCTCTGCGCCTACTTGGAGGTTCATGGGTAGTTATAGTAGGGTTCTAAGCCCCCCAATATGGGTTATGAGTATAGTTACCCTACTTATAACCCCACTTATAGCTACCCTAAACCCCATAAGCCCTAAACCCTAAACCCTAAACCCTATCCCTTATAACCCCACTTATAACTACCCCTAAACCCTAAACCCTAAAGAACCCTTTAAAGGAACCCTTAAAGGAACCCCATAGCCCCACTTATAACTAGCCATGAACCTCCAAGAACCGGTGAGGTGAGCCCCGCATCTCGGCCCCCAGGCAGTAAACGTCGAGCGAAAGCCTGGGAGCGAAGAAACCGCCGCAATGGAAGAGCTTAGGCTTTAGGGGTTTAGGGGTTTAGGGGTTTAGGGGTTTAGGGTTTAGGGTTTAGGGTTTAGGGTTTACAGGGTCGGAGAGTTCGGTGAAATCTCAACCTAGTCTTGCTGTGAGGATCCTTTCGGGCGTTTCTTGTGGCTGTAAGCGTCTCTTAAATCTTGAACGCATCGATGTACGTGTCATGAGGTATACAGAACAGGAGCCTTAGCCAAGGAAGGCGCAAGTGGAGTTGACGGCTACGTGTCATGCTTAGGGTCAAGATCGTTTAGGTACTCCGGACTTGGATTTCAGGTTTTCGGGCAGGGTTCGAGTGTTTCGAAAGGTGTCTTTCCGCTATCTACATGTAGCTTCATAGATGACCTTCATTGTGATGTACGCACGGCCGCTACGGGCAAGTATGGCCGTACTGAAGCCCTTTCTGGATGCAGCGATGTGAGCCAAATCAAAGCCTGCAACTTGACAAGTGAAGCGACATGCACGCACAGAGACACACAAACAACATCAAAAGCCTCAGCGAGAACAGCAGAACACGATGCATACCCTGAGCCCTGTGCCCTAAACCCGACTCCTTCACTTCCGAAGTCTGCACAGGCACAAGCAGCGATTCCACCCCAACTCGCAATGAAAACAGCGTGTTGGCAGTCGAGCCGCAAGAAGAACTACAAGTCATCATCAACTGCGGTGAAACACTGCGAACCCAGTACCACAGGAACATCTATACAACTGTGTAAGCATTGTGCAAAACCTACAAGTTTCTATCAGCTCATTGTAGAAAGTCCTTGCGCGAGTCGATAAACGAATTGAGAACCCTTCACAAATCCTACCAGCCCATCATTTCGCCCGATCAAAACCATCAAAACATCTAAACAAAACCCTAAACCCTAAACCCTATTTCGAGCCCGTATTGGGACCTCTACAGGGGCTTCTACTCGGAATAGCATGACCGAGCCCTGCGCTGGAGAAGGTGCCGAGGCCAAGGAAGCTTTGAAGGCCTCGCCGTAGTTGCTTTAGGGCTTCAGGAGTTTAGGGGATTTTACAGTTTAGGGCCTTAGGGTTTCAAGATTTCGGGGTTCACGGTTTTAGGAGTTTAAACATTTCAGGAGATCGTTTGGAGTCGAGGGCATGCGGAGCATCACAGCATAACTCCCATAGTTCAGGTATTTCAAGTCATGCAGGAGTTTGACCGTCAACAATACTTCGGCCGTACTTGTTTGCTTCGAAGTCGTTCCACTGCGCTTTATGACTTCACTGAGCACTCCTAAACCCTAAACCCTAAACCCTATAGGGCTGTACATGCTTTACCGAATCTCTTGCTCGCCCCCTTCTATCCACTAGGTGGAAGGGGACTGCATGGAACCTCAATCGAAAAATGCCAGAAGAAGGAATGCCGGTCTTAATGTAGGGGCCTTAATAATTAGAATAGGGCTTTGGCAAAGCCCTATTTGGAGCCCATCATACTATAATTATATTAAGGAACCCCCAGAACCCTATGCTAATTATTATGGCCTTTATATTAGCTGGAGCGATCTTTCCTGGGAAGCCTCAATCCAAACCTCCCAGATCCAAAATGACAACACCTGAGATCACCAGGGTGCTGAACCTTAGAAGCGATGCGCCCCCCCAATCAAAACCAACCCTGTGCCCCCCCAAAGAACCCAAAGAGCCCAAAACCCCTTAATTAAGGAATATACTTTAAATTATAATAGGCTAGGGTTTAGGGTTTAGGGTTTAGGGTTTAGGGTTTAGGGTTTAGGGTTTAGGGTTTAGGGTTTAGGGCCCCTGATATGATTTAAGGTATATTCCTTCATGTTCGGGGGTTTTGGAGTCTCTGGGCTCACTCTCAGTCTCAGCAGTGGCCTTCCAATGCTTCTACCACGTGCACGCCATCGCAGAAGGTCTCGAAGAGCATGGTGGCCGCCACCTTCGATGCGAGGCGTAAAAGGCCCAAAACTTGCAGGGCAGTTTGGGGTATGGAGCCACCTTCTTTCTTCCCCAATAAGCCAGGGACATAAAAGGTTAAACTTTCAGATTACTACCAAGATATAAGAACCCCAAAAGTTTAAAGGTTGGGTTTTGGAGAACTAAGCTCTCAACTCTAAAGCACCGTAAAGCAAGAGCCACCATCCAGAAACCTCGGGTCGTGAGACGAATATGGAGGCCCTAAAAATCAGAATAGGGTTTAGGGTTTAGGGTTTGGGGTTTAGGGTTTCGGGGTAAAATGAAACTCTGAATCTCGGAAGACTATTTCTGACTTTTCCGACCTCTTTTTTATTCGGGCTGAGCGCCGTAGGCTACTCAGATAGCCTTGAAATGGTCCTCTGGACGGTAAAAGACACATCGGGAATCAGGGCGTGGGGTTCAGGGTTCAGGAGTCACGAAGTTCTTTCAATCATCGCCCTGCCTTCGTGCAGTTGGCCGTCATGCACGAGAACCTCGGGAAATCCAGAGTCCGTCGCAAAGAACTTTCATGTGGGTAGTTCTCTAAATTACGGTCCCTGTTTAGGTCCCCAATATAGTACGGCACCCTTATAAAACGGACCCTAAAAGTGACCCTAGTTCAGAGAACTACCCATGTTGAGGAATGCAGGACCTTTCCATGGGCAAGATGTCCCTAAACCCTTAAGCCTAGAACCCTTCACAGGATCCCTGCTACAGGCCTCCAAGGCTTGCAAGTCATATGGGAGTTTCCGAAAATGAGGAGTACCTTATTTTGGGGTCCTTATAATAAGGATCCTATTATTTAGGGCACTATATTAGGGGCCCTTTTTTTTTTCGGAACCCCCCATGTAATGAAACCCGAAGATCCGCTCTCTCCCTCACTTCCTCAGCCCGGTTTGGATCGAGGCTTGACGCCCCAACGTGCAACTTGCACAGTTGAAAGCCTGCTATGACGGTTTAGGGTTTAGGGTTTAGAGGACTTGCTAACTGAACTGTATTTTACGGACTTCAGAAGTATTTATGCCTGGAATAGGTGCCTGCATACATAGTAGTACAGGTGAAACAGCATTTCCAAGTGCCACCGGGTCAATCTTCTACTACAGGGGCCTTAATATACTATCGTTTCTTGTTGTGGGGGGTTCCTCATTATAATTACAGTATAATATAACTCTAAACCCCTACTTTAATTGTTAAGGCCCCTACAGCACCCTTTTTTTCTAGAACTGTGGAGCAGAAGGAGCCAACCCGCCCCAATCTTGGCCCATCTTTCTCCACTCACTGTGCTGACTCCGGCAAACAGTATAATGTAGGGGCCTAAATAATTAGAATAGGGTTTTGGGAGTTCCTTGTTATAACACTATCATAATATGCCCCAAACCCTATCCTATACGAGGCCCCTATATTAAGCTTCTCTTAACAGGGGTTTGGGGTCCATCATATATTCAAGGACGACAGGAAGATGTCTTGCCATTTTCTCAGCCCCTTTCCGACGCGAATCACTATAACATGCAGTCGCGGCCTGCATGCTGCACTCCAGACCCTGGGATTCTGAGAAAGCAGGTTTGGGAAGTAAGTGCAGGCACGGGCACATGCCAGCGAAACCGTCCAAAGAGACCTGGTCTTGCAAACGGGTTCCAGGATGTGCGGCTTGGAACTATATGTGGGTGGTTGTCAAAATTATGGTCCCTGTTTGGGTCCTTATGATAATACGGCACCTATTATTTAGGGTACCCCAAAAGGGACATAATTTTGACACCTACCCATATGTATGTATGTATGTATGTATGTATGCATGTATGTATGTATGCAACAGCATGCATGTGGAGGTGGAGAAAGCCTGAAACCCTTGACTCTTGACCCTGACCCTATACAGTACTACTTGGCATCTTGACTCGCGAGAGGTTCGACTTCAAGTCTATACAGATACCAGCTAACCCTTCACCATCAATCTGGTTCAGGTGCAACTTTGGAGGATTAGGGTTGAACCAACACGGAAAGGCTTCTAGAACAGTAAAGAAGGTTTCTATGAGCGATCTATAAGGCAGACCCTGCTGACTGAGGCCCGGCAGCTCTGGAAGATTTGCCGGTTCAGGCTGCTGGAATCAGCCCTTCTGACGCTTTCAGTCACGAGAACGGGCTAGGGGGTAATATTTTGCTACAATTTACGAACTACAAGAGGAAACAACTTTTCAGCAGGCGGAGCCTTGTGGAGCGTTTTAAACCCTGGTCTCTTATCTCCCGTGCAGCTCCACTCAAAGGTTCAAGCTTTCTGATGTGGCTCGGCGGAAACGGTCATCGTTCGGTCTTTCTAACCTCACTTTCGGGCCTTCGATCGTCCCTGTCGTATTTCCTTACACCCCCTGCCGTGCCTTGCGAGGATGTGTCTACAGCTGGGAATATGACTTAGCGGTGAAGGCCTTGTTGGTTGCGTGCTGAAACATCCGCAGAAGTCTCGAATGTAGGGGCGAGAAAATAGATAGAGGTCTCGAAGAGGGCAAACGATGCGAGCAACCAAAGAAAGACAATGAGTGATTGTTTCGACCCTGAACCTTAAGGACGCAATGACCCCTAAAAGTCGGGGCCCAATACCGCTATACTATGAATCCCTATATGGTGTATGAACCTTAAACTCTCTTAGGCTTCATTTACCCTAAACCCTAAACCCTAGAGGAACCCTCAACCCATAGGCCGAAAACCCTAGCCGAGTGGCGCCGTCGGCAGCGGAGCTGTGCATCGGCTGATCAAAGGAAAGGACGATCTGCACTGTTCCTTCAGGGACACTGCGCCTTGAGGGGTTCAGGGTTTCTGGTTTTGGGGGAGGGCTTTAAGGCTTCAACAAAATATGGCTTAGGGGTGTTAGGGATTTAGGTTGGGAGGACGGAGAAAACAGGGTTCGAGGATTTCGGGCGTTTAGGGTTTGATCATGGACACAGCATCGGGTCTTCCCTTCGGCCGTGGTAGTGCCGTATCGTTGGCGGCCCTTTGATTCTGGCATGTGTTCTCGCAGGGACTGGGTCAAACCTTGGGAAGCAAGAACACCAAGGACAGATCTACCATGCAAACGTGTTGTAAGCCGTACGATCCCATGTCCGAATTCCAGCGAACACCCTCCCAGAACCCTTCCCCCTCAACAACAAGGAAAGACAGCTAAACATGCACGTTTATGTCCCAACAAAACGACCCTATACACTAGAGATCAGTGGGCGCGTCTAAAACTTTGTATGCGGCACTGTGAAAACAACCACGGCGTCTAAAACTTCTTCACGTCTAAGAAGGTAAGCCGAGAATATGTTTGTTGTGCTGTATTTTTGAAAATACTCGCATTTTGGTCGTTTTCCTCGGGTTCTTGGCTGGAACTGCCGTTGTTCGCTCGGTTTCGCCAATGTGTTTGCTGCACCCGATGCCTTGATAATTGACTTTTTCAGTCTTGCCTGACGCTCCCTGATTCAATGCATTCTGAGAAGACAGCATCCATGACCCAACCATGCCGACGTCCATGATCTAAGCTGTTCTGGGAACAGTGCAGCCATGGCCCAACTGTGATGACGTTAACGGTCTACTCCTTTCTGAGAAGACAGCATCCATGGCCCAACCATGATGACGTCCATGGTGGATACGCTGTGGGAACAGAGCATCCGCGGCCCAACCCTGATGATGTCCATGGTCTAATACCCTAAACCCTGAACCCTAAAAACTAAACCCTAAACCAACCCTAAACCCTGATCCCTTCTGAGAAGAGAGCATGGCCACCACTGGTCCTACACGCTACGTCTTCGTCAGGGAAGAACTATCGACATGGCCTTTTCGAACATGCTTTACTTGGAGGTTCATGGGTAGTTATAATTGTAGGTTTATAAGCCCCCCATATATGGGTTATGAGTATAGTTACCCTACTTATAACCCCACTTATAGCAACCCATCAACCTCCAAGTACACATGTTTAGACACGTTTCAACATGTTTAAACACAAAAAACGCTCGCGTCTGAACAAAAAAGCACGCGCGAACTGTGACTGTTAAATGTTTATAACCACCCCCCAGGTACTGAAGCTGGAGCGTTTTCCTTTCGCAGACCAATTTTAGACACCCCGCCTTGTACAGCGATGACACGTCTATAAAATCTGAAATTCATCTCTAGGGTAGTTGATGATTAATGTAGGTGCCTGAATAATTGGAATAGGCTTTTGGGGAACATCATACTGTAATTGTAATATGGAGCTCCCAAGAGAGTATAGGTAATCATGAAGGCCCCTACACTACCGTTGATGGACAAGCCCTGCCCTCTTCACACTGGGGAACTTAAACCACAGTTCTCACTTGTGTAGGTACTTCTGAAGGCTCCTTTACTACTTGAAGGTTCATTGTTAGTTATAATTGTAGGGTTATAAGCCCCCTAATAGTAATATGGGTTGTAACCCTAAACCCTAAACCCTAAACCCTAAAACCTAAACCCTAAACCCTAAAACCTAAACCCTAAACCAGTAAGTATAGTTGCCCTACGTATAACCCCACTGATAATTACCCGTGAACCTCCAAGTAGCTGCTCTTGAGGGCTCTAAGGCTTCCCAGAGAGCCCAAGACCCCTTGATTAAGGAATAGACCTTAAGTCATACTATTAAGGCGCCTATACGTTAAGGTCTATTCCTTAAGTCTTAATCTTGAGGCCCCTATACTTTAAGGTTATATTCCTTAAGGCATAATGTTAAGGCGCCTATACGTTAAGGTCTGTTCCCTAAGTCATAATGTTAAGGCCCCTATAATTTAAGGTCTTATTCCTTAAGTCATAATATTAAGGCCCCTATAATTTAAGGTCTATTCCTTAACTAAGGCGCATTGGGCTCTTAATAAGGCTTCCTGCAGGGCCAGAGAGCACCGCCGCATGGGAGGGGGACACGGCCACCACGCTGGGAGGAATCGACCTGCGGCGGGAGTTTTTTGGTATCCGGGTTTAGGGTTTAGGGTTTAGGGGCTTAGGGTATCCGTTCGTGTTGGACATGTTCTAGGTGTAGTTTTATGATTTTGGAGACCATAAAGGGGGGTACTTGTGCTGCCTATCGCTAAGCTCTTCGGAACAACCCTTTTAAACTTTATACAACACGTTTATTCAAACCCGACAATTGGAAGCAGCAACTGAAAGCAGCAGCTTAGTGATACGAGTTAGGATTAGTGGGACCCTTCAAAACATAGACCCTCTCAATAAGGCCCTTTTAAGAGAGCCATTAGCAGGGTTAAGAAGGGTAGTGAGAGGGCTGGATCTTGGGGTGGAGTACTTTCGCCAGGCGCAGCCTGCGAAGCCCGAGAGCCAGAACGGCTTTCAGAAGAGGGTTTGAGGTTTGGGGTTCAAGGTTCTTTTAGGGCTTGAGGAATTTAGGGGTCTAGGGTCCAGGGTTCTAGGGTTTAGGGCTTTTATGGTTCAGGGTGCAGGATTTCAGGTTCAGGGGTTAGGGCTTCGTGTTTGATCCTCCTTGTCTTAAGCCCGAATACTTGGAGCATCATGGGACATAGTAACTACGGTTATAAAGAAGGTAACAATAATTCTAGCCCCAATTAGGGTACTTATAACCTTACTTACTAAGTCCCATGATCCTATAAGTACGAGTCCACTCGGAACCACAGCAAGGACCTCTCGAGGCACAAGTTCCGCACATTAGATGGATGATCCTAAACAGATTTACAAAGCAAGCCTGCATTCGCACGCACATACTTGTAGTTACATACATAATATATATATATATATATGTCTACATATTATATATATATATATATGTATATATATGTATATATATATATATACACATGTATATGCATGTATACATGCTAACCACACTGCAGACATAAGCATATGTATATGTCTACACATCTGTATCATGGCCCGTAATGTGTTGCTTTAGCGCCTCCTAAGGCCCGGAACCAAAGCCACGGCCGCCAAGGGCGGCAGGGAGGTCTGCAAGCGCCCCCCGGCCTGGAAGAAACAGCAATGTGTGAGTTTTCGATTCGAGCGCATTCCAAAACGTCCTGTGAAACCAAGCAGTGGATTCGGAAGCCTTGCCTAGAAAAAGGTTCGAAGCGCAGCAGCTCAAAAGCATGTCGAATCTTGCTCTCATGTGACCACTGGTTCGTGCCCCATGCAAGGCAGTTACGTCGGAGAGATGCCGTTGGCATACATCCAATGAGCTTTCTGGGGAACCATGTCTTCGGACCCCTATATGGGTAGTTGTCAAAAATATGGCCCACCCATATGAACTAGCTGGGAGCGAAGATGCACATGCCATCTTCTAAGGAAGCCAGAAGACTCCAACGACGATGCGCAGCTGCCCGGATGTTGCAATGATGTCCTGTGCAACAGGGCTGAGAAAGCCAAGCCAAGGCCAACAAGCAACGTCTTCAAATGAGCTGTAGTAATATCCCCTTCCCGTTCATTCATAGCTGCCTGTCGTCGAGTAGCAGCAGAACAAGAGCGGTCAAACATAGAGCAAGCTTGGATTACACAGTATACACCATCGGTATCAAATACGATCAAGGATTCTCAAAAACTAGACGACTGGACCTTTCGACACCGACTGCTGCTACAGCTACTGCTACAGCTGCAGCTACAGCTCCTACTACTACTACCACTACTACTACTACTACTACTACTACTGCTACTGCTACTGCTACTTGCTACTAGTACTAGAAGCACTCCCGAGCTGCAGGTGCTCTGCTGAGATGAAACTTATCTTAGTCTTCTGAGTCATCTTACTAGTGCACCGGAAACTTTTGCAGAAGCCTGCCTTGTTCTTCTTGATCGTCTTATGACCACTAAAGTTTAGGTGTTTTATTCGGAAAGCTGATACAAGTACGCAGACGGCGATACTATATTCCATAACAACATGTCGTAACTTAGCTAAGACATTTTGAGGATCAGCAAAATGAACAGTGTTGTATAACATATTCGTAATGGTTGATTGTAGAGCGTATGAAGCGAAAGATACTTCCAGAGGATGCGGTCTACATCCCCAAATTGCGAGGTCCTGCAGCTCGGTATGTTCCTGCCACGGCGACCACCTCGGGTCTTGCTTGGATTCTCTCTTTATTCTATACGATTTAGGCTTGCTTTCTCGGTTTATGTCGGTTGAGGGTGGTTTAAGGCTCAGGGCTTCGGGATTCTTGGATTCTGAAGGGTGTTGAAGGAGTCATTCGGCTGCAGGTGTTCGAGACCTCGCTGCAGTACGTAGGCCTAGATCCTGCAGGTAACAGGAACAGTGGGTGTAGATGGCACATGCCCGCACACAGTATACACGCCCACACATACACAAGTATGTATATGTACTCACAGATCTAGATGCACATATACATATATATATATATACTCGTATATTTATTTGTTTATGTATACCCATACATACATATACATAATACACACATGAACACTTCCGCTTGTTGGCTGAACGTGGAGATTCGAGCCATTTGCGGCTTGCAGACCTCTACCCATAAAGCCAGCGGTCACACCTTCAACACTTAGCACCGCCCGGCCGATCGAATCGCACACGGAGAGACCTCTGCATATCCACCCTCAAACCCATGAGGCATCGTCATTGGGGTTTAAGGTTTAGGTTTAGGGTTTAGGGTTCAGCACTTAGGGTGGCATACCGACAGGCGAAAAGACATAACAGCCAAGAAGCAACAGCGCTTCGCGCGTCTCGGTGCCATGGAAGTTGGCCAGCACCGCCACACGCTGTTCCTGCAGGCGATGTCATGCCCAAGGACTCCCGTTACTGTCTATTGGTAATCATGCATACATACATGCAGACATGCATGCATACATACATACATACATATACATTTACATATACATGTAGATAGCACATCGCTATTTAAGCTAGACATCGTATCCAACTTCGTGAGACCCCTCCTCTAGGTAACCGGAGCTACAAGGTCCGGTCTTCTTCTGCCGGTAGTTGGCTCCCAAATGACGGGGCGTTGTTGAGGAACTTGGGTTAAGATACCGTATGAATCGAAGGAAACCATGCCATGGATCTTACATCCCCATCCTGGTAGCTTAGAGTAAGTTGTTTCTTGACAAATAGGAACTCGATCCCGTGAAATGGAAGCTATCGCCGGGGGCTGTGAAAGGCACTTTGGAAAGTCAACGGCAGCGCTTCGACATCTCGCACCCTTCACGCGACACCGTAAACGCCGTAAGCCCCAAACCCTCCCAGAGCCAGCGCTCCAACGAAAGGGCCCAGGAATGCTTGCACAGTTTTTGTTGAACCCGAACTGGGAGGGTTCTCGACATCAGGGCTCCTGTCTAGGAGTCTTTCGAACTGTTTCCTAGAATCTAGGATAAAAAACAATGGATGCTACGATTTTAGGTTTTTTTTAGGGCTCCATAGAAGGGTATCTGAAGACAAAAGGCCTCGGAGCAACCGCGGATGAAGGCCAGGACATCTTGGATCGGTGGGCTCGGGGTCATGAGCTTGTCGCACCTGAGACGCTGGAGATTCAGATGCTCAGCTAATGTAGGTTCCTAAATACTTACCTATACTATTTTGGGGGTTCCTTTATTATGATTATAGTATATTACAGCCCCAAACCCTAGTCTAATAAGCTAATCTAGGGGCCTTAATAGATAGAATAGGGTTCCTTTAAAGGGTTCCTTAAAGGGGATACTATCAGGGTTTTGTAACAGCCAGGCCTTAATAATTAGAATAGAATTTCGGGGTATAATATACTATAATGATAACAAGGAACCCCCAAAACCCTATTCTAATTATTAAGGCCCCTACATTAATCCCACTTTCGTCGCAGACCGGGTTTGCTCTGCGGTTCAGTGATCTAGCGACATCGTCGCAAAGCCTTGAGGGTTTGGGGAGAAGCATCGAGTGCTGAGGGCTTGGTGCGTTCGGCTGAGGTAGGGCTTTAGTCTTGAAGCGTATCATCGTGCAGTATCGTCAGTTTCATCCATTTTCGCTTGATAATTCTAACCGTCGCCGACATTCAATCAATGATTCCCACAAGCTTTTTTGAATAGGTACCGCAATATAACCGTAAGGTAAACCAATCAGCAAGTGCCACATAGCCTGTTCATGAAAAAGCTAACTTTGGGATTGTGGCTCATGCGCGAGTGGATTCAGGACAAAAACATTTGTGCAGGACTGTTCATGTAAGGACCCAAAAGACGGACCCCTCATAACAAGAACCCGCCGTCGAAACCTTGTTAAAAGGCTACAACCGCTCGAGATAGGTTAGTAGGTTGACAGTCAAAGATGTAAGTAATATAGAAGCCTTAATAATTTGAATAGCGTTTTGGGGCCCATTATACTATAATCATAATAAGGATCCCCCAAAATAGTATTAGTATAGGTAATTTTTCAGGCTCCTATATTGGTTGACAATCAAAGATGTAGTTTTCCGTCTCACAGCTTCGTCTTTCTGGTTGGTCTCCGGCCTCACGCAGAGAGACCGAGGACCCACAGTCAACGAGAACTTCTCTAATATAGGGGCCTTAATAATCAGAATAGGTTTTCGGGGCCTATTATACTATAAATACGGAACCCCAACAATAATATTGGTAATTATTTAGCCCCCTACATTAACAGACTCCTCTTGCGGTGCGCGGTAGTGCCACAATTCATCCTGGGTTATGATCCATGTGAACCCTGTGCCCAAAACGGCCTGCGGGGCATCCCTTGATGCTTCTTGCACGTTCTGATTCGAGGCTTCGTGGGTAGTCGGTGTAACTCTGGCGAGGACCTTCTCTCTTCAACTGCCCATGATCCGTTGACCCAGAGTCTTCTGTCTGGTGCTTAGTAGGGAATGGGGGGAATGGATCCTTATGATAGATAGTCCCTTAAGGTCCCTTGCAATAGTAGTCCCAATAGCCCATTCCCTCATTCTCTTCAAAGCACCAGACAGATAAACACTAAACCTAAACCCTAAACCCTAAACCCGAAACCCTAAACCCTCGAAATCTCTCTAATTCGAAGCCCATTCCCCCATTCCCTACAAATCCATTCCCTCATTCCCTTCAAAGCACCAGACAGTCTTGCAGCTCAGGCGCTCCTCACTGCCAAAAGACTCGAAGTGCGCGCGACGCAGCGCGTTGAGTCGGGCAATGAACCTTGGCGAGAGCCGGCGGGAAGGAGATTCAAGAGATCCTTTAGGATTCAAGCCCCGATACGAAACCCGTAGAATACACCTTCTACTAAACCCTTCTAAAAACCCTTAAAGGAGCCGTAATCTAATTGTCCAGGCCCCAATATATTATTTCATGATGCTATCAAAGGGCCTTTCGGTTTTGGGACTCTCAAGATGCAGACACTTGCGGTCGCCATAGAATGGGGATTTCGAAACCTCTTCTCGCAAGCCGTTCAGGGCTTCGGATTTAGGGTTTAGGGTCTACGGGTCAGGGTTTAGGGTTTAGGGTCTACGGGTCAGGGATTAGGGTTTAGGGTTTAGGGTCTACGGGTAGGGGCTTTGGGTTCAGGGTTTAGGGTCTACGGGTTAGGGCAAGAACTGAGCCTAGTGGAAGCTGATCTTCCCTGCCTGGAGAAGTTGTAACCTTCCGCCACAACTGCCCGAAGCGCCCCAGATCCGATGCCCATACGTCAAAAAATCAATGGGAAATCGGAGGACCATCTCAAGAATTCAGGCGGGAGACGAGGCTTCGTGGAGGAACAAACAGGCCCCTCAAGCCTGAACCCAAAAAGCCCCAAAGCCCTAAACCTGCAAAGGCTCTTGACACACTAAATGAGCTACGAAGGCTGCGAATCCCTTGGCCCAAGCCGGGAAGGAGCTGTGACAAGAATCCAGTGTTATTTATATGCTATTATAATGGGACTACAAGGGGCGACTATTGCTAGCGATTCAGACCTCTACATTAGCTTTGTCCCCTTTGCCACGGGCGCTGAGAACGGATCTTGACTGTGCGGCTTTCCTGAGACAAGATCTTGGTTACCTGTTGCTGTCTGGCTTGTCAAAGCCTTTGCGCCACGCCGCAGATAGTTGCCCGAAGTCATGTCAAAGTTGTCCCGACTGGCCACATTCCCTGCAGGGCACAATGCCAGCTGAATAACCGAATTGTCAGGCGATCTTAGCGTAAGACTTCTAGCTCCGTCTGTTCATCGCACCATGTGCAAATTCGATCATGCTTAGGGCTAGCGAGGGGATTTGTCAGCTTGGCTTTTGTGTGTTGACTTAGTGCACTCTGGCTTGTTGCATTTTCGGAGTCAGGTGTTGGTGCCTCAAGATCGAGAATTTCAGGGCCTAGGCAGTTGCGATCCTGGAGGTGAGGTTTAAGCCGCATACCCCCACAAACATCCTCACTGTCCAGAGGCTGTACACCACAGAACCCTCTGTAGACTTAGGAGTTGGATGGCAAGTCCACTATCCGGACTTCGATCACTGTCATGCATTCAGAGATGTCTGGGTGTAGGAGCTGGTTGCATAAGACAAGGTTTCAGGGTATTATCATACTATAAGTTCTGAGTCAGTACAAAGTCTACGGCTGTAGGGAAATGTTCTCACTAATTCCTCCGACCTTCACCCTAAACCCTAAACCCTAAACTCATGCGCGTGTGCGTCTGTGTCTGTCTCCCTGTGAGGCTTACGGGAGTTGATACGAAGAGCGGAAGTGTAGGGCTGGAGGCAGGCCAGGGTCTCAACATGAGTTGCCCCCTTTATGGGGAGCCTGTATCGGAACCCCTAGAGGCCCTAGAGGTATCTTAAACAGATACTTCGGTGGTCTTAGCAGTATTCTGTCATGGGAGGGCCAAGTAGTTGGTGCAGGACCCGGCTCGAGTCGGCAACAAATAGAGTAGCGTCTTCGACGTACATTGCGGTGTAATCATCCAAAAGCGAGGTACCCTCGGAATCATTTACAAAGAAGCTACATAGAAGAGACATGGTTGTTGGGGTATCCAGGAGACGGCACGTAATATAGGGGCCTTAATATAATTAGAATAGAGTTTTGGGGCCCATTATACTATAATTCTAAGAAGGAACCCCCTCAAAACAAAAAAAATACTATTGGTAATTGTTTAGGCCCCTACACTAAACCCGAAGCCCTAAACCCCTAAAACCCCTTAACCCTAAAATCCCTAAACTCAAAACCCCTAAAGCCCCTACACACAAAACCCCTAAAAGCCCTAAACCCTAAAGCCCCTACACACAAAGCCCTAAACCCTAAAGCCCCTAAACCGTAAACCCTAAATCCCTAAACCCCTAAACCCCTAAACCCTAAACCCTAAACCCCAAACCCAAAACCAAAACCCTAAATCCCGAAACCCCTAAACCCTAAACCCCTAAAAGCCCCCTAAAAGATGTGCGGCCTGATTGGTGAGTCCCTAAACCCTAAACCCTAAACCCTAAACCCTTACATTAAGACCCCTATATTCCGGGTGCGGCCTGATTGGTGAGTGGGCACCGCCTGCCAGGCCAGGGAGGCTCCAAGCTCCTGCCGGCCAGGCTCGGGCTTTGAGGGCTTTTAGGGGCCTTTAGGGCCTGTAGGGGCTTGTAGGGGTTTAGGGGTTTTAGGGTGTTTTTAGGGCTTTTAAGGGCTTTTAGGTTCTTTTTTGTGGTTCAGGGGTTGGTTTTTAAGGTTTTTAAGGCTTTTAGGGCTTTAGGGGTTTAGGGCGTTTGGGGGCTTTTAGGAGTTTAGGGTTTAGGGCTTTTAGGGGTTGAGGGTTTAGGGGATACTGAGAGGATAGTTTGGGTCAGGCTTGGGGGCGTATAAAGGGGATACTCAGGGGATATCTAAGGGTTGCGAGCATTTCCTGTTAAGGGGGAAATGTAGGCTTGGGAGTCTTTCGGGGTTAGGAGTCTCTGGGGTTCTAGGGGTATTTTAGGGTTTAGGGTCGTTCGGATGTTAATGAGGGTTTAGTGGTGTTTGGGGTTTTAGTGGTGTTTAGGGTTTAGGGGCCAGATTGGGGGGCTTAGGGCTTTATCAGCAATTGCGAGCAGAATGCGGAGCTTTGTCATAAAGAAAAGGATAAGAGCATGGGAAGAGCTTGCAGTAAGGTTTCTTCTTGTTTGTAAGTTGGAAGCTAAGTCCGGCGCAAGCTTCTTCTACTCCTGTCTTCTGCCGGCTGAGAATCTTAGAAGCAAGCGAAGAACGTGTGGCTAGTCATCCCTCGGAGTCTTAGAGCCATAAGAATAAAGAACAAGTCCTGAGAAAATCGAAGGAATCCGCCGGTCATGAACGTCTACAATCAACTGGTTATATGTTAACGATAACGTCCGACTTTTGCAGACGCTTTGCGAAAAAGTACCTAAGCTACCGTAGAGGCTAATTAGTTAGCACAGGCTACATCCCATTTCTCTTGATTCACTTGCACTGCTCGAACCCAAGCACCTCAGAAAGGCCCGAAACTACAAAATCATGCGCGGAGTGACGAGGGGGCAAAACCAAAGGCCCAGCATGCTGACCCAACGAGTGGCGAGCCCCTACATTGAAGAACCCATAGAGTTGAAAGAAAGCCAGATTCAGCTTTCATGCATGGTGCGGCTATCAGCTTCTCAAGCCCTTTACACACACACACACACACACACACACACACACACACACACCCACACGCACACGCACACGCACACGCACACGCACACGCACACGCACAC